CTACAAAGCCACAGTAATCAAGACAATTTGGTACTGGCACAAGAACAGAGCCATAGACCAGTGGAACATAATAGAGACTCCAGACATTAACCCAAACATATATGGCCAATTAATATACGATAAAGGAGCCATGGACATACAATGGGGAAATGACAGTCTCTTCAGCAGATGGTGCTGGCAAAACTGGACAGCTACATGTAAGAGAATGAAACTGGATCACTGTCTAACCCCATACACAAAAGTAAATTCGAAACAGATCAAAGACCTGAATGTAAGTCATGAAAACATAAAACTCTTAGAAAAAAACATAGGCAAAAATCTCATGGACATAAACATGAGTGACTTCTTCATGAACATATCTCCTGGGCAAGGAAAACAAAGGCAAAAATGAACAAGTGGGACTACATCAAGTTGAAAACCTTCTGTACAGCAAAGGACACCATCAATAGAACAAAAAGGTACCCTACAGTATGGGAGAATATATTCATAAATGACAGATCTGATAAGGGGTTGACATCCAAAATATATAAAGAGCTCACACACCTCAACAAACAAAAAGCAAATAATCCAATTAAAAAATGGGCAGAGGAGCTGAGCAGACAGTTCTCCAAAGAAGAAATTCAGATGGCCAACAGACACATGAGAAGATTCTCTCCACATTGCTAGTTATCAGAGAAATGCAAATTAAAACCACAATGAGATATCACCTCACACTAGTAAGGATGGCTACCATCCAAAAGACAAACAACAACAAATGTTGGCGAGGTTGTGAAGAAAGGGGAACCCTTCTACACTGCTGGCGAGAATGTAAATTAGTTCAACCATTGTGGAAAGCAGCATGGAGGTTCCTCAAAATGCTCAAAATAGACATACGATTTGACCCAGGAATTCCACTTCTAGGAATTTACCCTAAGAATGCAGCAGCCCAGTTTGAAAAAGACAGATGCACCCCTATGTTTATCACAGCACTATTTACAATAGCCAAGAAATGGAAGCAACCTAAGTGTCTCTCAGTAGATGAATGGATAAAAAAGAGGTGGTACATATACACAATGGAATATTATTCAGCCATAAGAAGAAAACAAATCCTACCATTTGCAACAACATGGATGGAGCTAGAGGGTATTATGCTCAGTGAAATAAGCCAGAAGGAGAAAGACAAATACCAAATGATTTCACTCATCTGTGGAGTATAAGAACAAAGAAAAAACTGAAGGAACAAAACAGCAGCAGACTCACAGAACCCAAGAATGGACTAACAATTACCAAAGGGAAAGGGACTGGGGAGAATGGGAGGGAAGGGAGGGATAAGGGTGGGGAAAAAGAAAAGGGGATATTACAATTAGCATGTATAATGTTGGGGGTGGGAATGGGGAGGGCTGTGCAACACAGAGAAGACAAGTTGTGATTCTATAACATCTTACTATGCTGATGGACAGTGACTGTAATGGGGTTTGTAGGGGGGACTTGGTGAAGGGGGGACCCTAGTAAACACAATGTTCTTCTTGTAATTGTAGATTAATGGTAACAAAAAAAGAAAGAAAGAAAAACTGCAACACCAACGTAATGCTGTGGCATCTTGGCTGCTCTCAAGGCCTACAGGCATGAGGCTGGAGCTGGGTCATTTGTTCTTGTGCACACTAAGAAGCTTCTTCTGCCTTAGGGATGAACACTGTATAAATTACATCTTATCTAATAAGTGGCATGAAAATTAATGGATATTTTAAAAATGTATATTAGTTGATGAAATTAACTTAGCTGTAAGCTTACTATGCACTCTAAAAGATGCATGGCATTCAAAGACCAAAAAACTTGGCAGTGTGATCTTGGTGCTATGGTTACTTTCTGATGCAGCAGATTAAAAAAAAAAGTACTTTCTGACACTGTGTCTTGAAATCTAAACACGGCTCAATGCTTTTTGCTTTGTTAATGATTTTTCAAGCTAAATTTGACACAACAGGCAAACCAAATAAAGGAAAAGGCTCGTAGATTTGACTGCCTAAAACTAAAATTCCTGTACAGAAAAATAAACTTTAAAAGATGATATCAAGGTAGGGAACATTTGCAAGATACCTAATGTCCAAAAGGTTATTAGCTTTTACAGTGTGAGCTCTTGTAATTCATAAGGAAAAGGGGGAAAAGTTATAAAGATGATCACCTGAATGGACAAAAAATTTTTTAATTCAGTCTCATTAATAATCAAAGAAGCACAATGAGACGCTGTTTAGCACTTTGCCAAATTGGATTCAAAAGCCAAAAAAAAAAAAACGATGTGAAAGAAAATTTAAGCTTGCTAATAAACTAAGAAATGCAACAAGACAGTGTGTATCTCCTCCCAAACTGGCAAGGAATGAGAAAACAATAAACCTGGTGAGCTGAGGAAGGAGGAGGGGCAGAGCAGAGGTTCAAATCCATACAGGATGCTGATGGGAATATAAATAGAAAATAGCCAAGCTCTGGCCTAAGAAAAATGCTTGGGAGAGGGATTAAAGTGGGGAGAGATGGGGCAAGGATTTCTCTTTTTTGTGCATTTCTAATAATTTTAACCTCTATGTTTCTAAGTAGCATATTTAAATAGCATCCCTTGAAGTTTTCAGTTTTAGACACTGTTTATTAAGTTAGCTTTCTTCCACCATCTCTCACTCCTTTTCTGTCTCCCAGCTTCTGTCTCCCAACCTCCCCAATTTATCTCTTTTAGACATTATCTACTGCTGTTTATTACGCATCAGGAGTTTAGCTTTCTTGCACTCTGCCTTTCCTGCATCCTGTTCTCCCAATATAATTGCATCTCATTCGGAGACTAAGTCTATATTCTGTAAGTTCATGACAGTGGTAATGTATATTTTTCCCTCCAGATCAAGCAGTATACTCTGATTCCATGTTCTTTCTTGTATAACTTGGTGTTTTTCTATAAATTAAGAAGTGCTTTGTTTTTTCATTTGCTTGCTTATCTTGACAGTCTGACCAAGTCTCCCAACATCCTTCAACACCTCTGTGACACTCCTTTTAATACAATCTTCCCTAGATTCAAATCCATCAGCTACTTTACCCGTTGCATTGTTTTCCCCAGGGATATCCCTCCTGGGCTTCCCTCCTCTCCTCTGTACCTGGGTGCTCCTTAGCCCTGTAGCCCAACTATCGTCCTGAGAATTCCTGCACTGTCATCTTTAGAATTCCCTTAGTCTGTCTCCTGTTTTGGACTCTGTTCCTCAGATCCCATGCCTTCCTTTTCCTTGATTTACTCTCTCACCTTAGTGGAACAGAATTTTCAGAAGCTTTCAGAAGTTTCTGAGTGTTGGCAGGTCGGTATGTGTCTTCTCTTGCAGTTGACTTGATAGTTGGGCTGGATATATCAGTCAGGATGGGCTATATTATGCTGAGGTAATAGCTTAAAGTATTAAAACTTTTTTAAAAAAATAGCAGCTTTACCAATATATCATTCATATGCCGTAAATTCAGCCTTTTAAACTGTACTATTCAGGTTTTTAGTATATTCACAAGGTTGTGCAACTATCACCACTATCTAATTCCAGAACATTTCATCACTCTAGTGAGAAACCTCATATCCATTAGCAATCACTCCCCATTTCCTCCTTTCCATACCCCTAGGAAATGATGAATGTACTTTCTGTCTCTGTAGATTTGTCTATTCTGGACATTTACTATAAATGGAATCATATATAATATGTGGCCTTTTCTGACTGGCTTCTTTCACTTAGCATAATGTTTTTAAGGTTCATCCATGTTGTAACTTATTAGTACTTCATTCTTTTATTTTTTATTTTATTTTATCTTGGTATCATTAATGCACAGTTACCTGAACAACATTATGGTTACTAGACTCCCCCTATTATCAAGTCTCCACCACAAACCCCATTACAGTCACTGTCCATCAGTGTAGTAAGATGCTATAGAGTCATTATTTGTCTTCTCTGTGTATACTGCCTGTCCCGTGTCCTCCCCCACTACATTATGTGTGCTAATCATAATGCCCCCTTTCCCCCCTTATCCCTCCCTTCCCACCATTCTCCCCAACCGGTTTCCCATTGGTAACTGTTAGACCATTCTTGGGTTCTGTGAGTCTGCTGCTGTTTTGTTCCTTCTGTTTTTGCTTTGGTCTTATACTCCACAGATGAGTGAAATCATTTGGTACTTGTCTTTTTCCACCTGGCTTATTTCACTGAGCATAATACCCTCTAGCTCCATCCATGTTGTTGCAAATGATAGGATTTGTTTTCTTCTTATGGCTGAATAATATTCCATTGTGTATATGTACCACATCTTCTTTATCCATTCATCTACTGATGGACACTTAGGTTGCTTCCATTTCTTGGCTATTGTAAATAGTGCTGTGATAAACATAGGGGTGCATATGTCTTTTTGAAACTGGGCTCCTGCATTCTTAGGGTAAATTCCTAGAAGTGGAATTCCTGGGTCAAGTGGTATTTCTATTTTTAGTTTTTTGAGGAACCTCCATACTGCTATCCACAATGGTTGAACTGGTTTACATTCTCCCTAGCAGTGTAGGAGGGTTCCCCTTTCTCCACATCCTCACCAACATTTGTTGTTGTTTGTATTTTAGATGGTGGCCATCCTAACTGGTGTGAGGTGATATCTCATTGTGGTTTTAATTTGCATTTCTCTGATGATTAGGGATGTGGAGAATCTTTTCATGTGCCTGTCGCCCATCTGAATTTCTTCTTTGGAGAACTGTCTGCTCAGCTCTTCTGCCCATTTTTTAATTGGATTATTTGCTTTTTGTTTGTTGAGGTGCATGAGCTCTTTATATAATTTTGATGTCAACCCCTTATCAGATATGTCATTTATGAATATATTCTCCCATACTGTAGGATGTCTTTTTGTTCTACTGATGGTGTTCTTTGCTGTACAGAAGCTTTTTAGTTTGCTATAGTCCCACTTGTTCATTTTTACTTTTGTTTCCCTTGCCCAGGGAGATTTTTTCATGAAGAAGTTGCTCATATTTATGTCCAAGAGATTTTTGCCTATGTTTTTTTCTAAGAGTTTTATGGTTTCATGACTTACATTCAGGTCTTTGATCCATTTTGAGTTTACTTTTGTGTATGGGGTTAGACAATAATCCAGTGTCATTCTCTTATACGTAGCTGTCCAGTTTTGCCAACCCCAGCAATTGAAGAGGCTGTCATTTCCCCATTGTATATCCATGGCTCTTTTATCATATAGTAATTGACCATATATGCTTGGGTTTATATCTGGAGTCTCTATTCTGTTCCACTGGTCTGTGGCTCTGTTCTTGTGCCAGTACCAAATTGTCTTGATTACTGTGGCTTTGTAGTAGAGCTTGAAGTCAGGGAGCATAATTCCCCTGCTTTATTCTTCCTTCTCAGGATTACTTTGGCTATTCCGGGTCCTTTGTGGTTCCATATAAATTTTAGAATGATTTTCTCTAGTTCATTGAAGAATGCTGTTGATATTTTCATAGCGATTGCATTGAATCTGTAGATTGCTTTAGGCAGGCTGGCCATTTTGACAATATTAATTCTTCCTTGCCAAGAACATGGGATGAATTCCCACTTATCAGTGTCCTCTTTAATTTCTCTTAAGAGTGTCTTGTAATTTTCAGGGTATAGGTTTTTCACTTCCTTGGTTAGGTTTATTCCTAGATATTTTATTCTTTTTGATCCAATTGTGAATGGAATTATTTTTCTGATTTCTCTTTCTGCTAGTTCATCATTAGTGTATAGGAATGCAACAGATTTGTGTGTATTAATTTTGTATCCCACAACTTTGCTGAATTCAGATATTAGATCTAGTAGTTTTGGAGTGGATTCTTTAAGGTTTTTACTTCATTCCTTTTTATGTCTTAATAAACTCATTATGTAGATAGACCACATTTTATTTATCCCCTCATTGGTTGATGGACATTTAGGTTGTTAACACTTTTTGGTTTTTATGGATAGTGTTAGTCTGAACCTTTGTGTGCTTGTTTTTATGTGTATGTGTATTTCTAATTCTCTTCAGTACATATGTAGGAGTGGAATTCTTGGGTCATATGGTAACTTTACATTTAACCTTCTGAGGAACTGCCAGACTATTTTCTAAAGTGGCTGGACCATTTTGCAATCCAACCAACAACCACATCCCTGCCAGCACTCCTCATCATGGTTTTTGCTGTCATTGTTGATTTTTTTAGTCATTCTACTGGGAGTGAAGTGGTAAAGATTTATTTTTCATCTTAACCCATGTCTCTTGCCTTGGTGTCCATCTGTCAGTCAGTCAACCAATCGATCAATCATCAATCAGTCAACACAGGAACCATTCCTTCTGTCCTGGGCTAAGTTCTCTGAAGAATACAAAGAAGATTAATGTCCATGACTTTGAGGATCTACTCTTTCTTCATAAAACCCAGAAGAAAGTTAACACAGAGCAGTCTATGGTCAGTACCAAATTCTTACTAGGGCATCTAGGGCCTTGCTGGCTCTGGCTTATGCCTATCTCCAATTCCTAACTGCTGCCTCTTGCCTTTTTAAAAAATGTTTTCAAGCTCCTTTCTGCCTCAGAGCCTTTGTTTATCTACCATTGTATCTCACTCTCTTTTGGTTTCAGCTTCAGTGTCACCTACCCCATCACCCATGACAAGGCTGGTTCACTGTCTTACATGCTCTTGTCACCTTGCACTTTTCCTTAATGCAGTAAACATGGTGGAGAGTGGAGTTGTGAGGGGTTACATGCTGAGGTTCTGGAGCTGGACTGCCTGGATTCCAGGTCTGCCTTTGATATCTAGTTATTAGCTGTGACCCTTGGGCAAAGTACTTAACCTCTGGATATAAATACAACCTAGCATGTTGTATTATAGTCATTGAGAGGATTAAATTAAGTAGGTAATTTATGTCATTTAGAATTTGACATTCTTTAAATGCTAGCCCTTATTATTCACAATTATAAATTAAACAATCATTTATGTAGGTTAAAGAAATATGCCTTGTCAGTGCTGTATCCTTGGCAGTACTTATCACATCGGAATTTAAGATATACTTGTGAACAAATGAATGAAGGCCAAGTGTATCCTGTAGGATATCAGAGGAAGGAGAGGCATTATGGAGAAGATATGGCCAACTCTGATCAAATGGTAGTGACAGCCTGGAGTCTTGTGTGGAGAAAATGATTTTGAAGTTGCATCTGGGTTCAGAGTAGACTGTGATTGATTCATCATGTCTGCCACAGCACAGGAAAAACAACACTGCAAGGCAAACACTAAAGGTTTGACTTCTGCCTGATAGGGGAACCAAAATGAAACAATTCACTAATTACCCTAAAATGATTGGACTTGACCCCTGATTGTGTTTCCCATCCCAAGGATACCTGCATTTAAATCTAGCCTGGGAGTGGTGTGTGTTTGTAGGGATGGGTGATGAATCAAATATCACAGGGGCCCAGGAGGCTTAGTGAAGATTGCCATAGTGAGGGTATGTGCTGACCCCTTACCTGCCACACCAAAAGGTGAATCCAGTGCTGTTGCAGTCTCCAGTTTTTCAAAAGAATCTGAAAATCTGGATTTTTACATGAAACCTCCTGAGTTTAAAATGTTTGCAACTAAATAAACATTTTAAAAAGTAGTATGTAGGCCAAAGAAAATGGTGTTGGGCCTTATTCGGCTCATTTGCTATCTCTGTATGGGCCCTTACCAACCTTTCCAAGCTTTCTGCAATGGCCTAGTCGGTCTTTCAGAGCCCAGTCTTAGGTGACTTCCTCTTCATACCACCCCAAACCCCTGACTGGGAATCTTTTTCTATAACACTCTGGGGTCTTTCGTGATCATTTTCATCTTGAAATCTATTTGTGTTCCTTCCAGGTACCATGCGATATCCGTTTCATTCTCTCAGCTACCCAGTGAAGTATTTGCACATTTAGAGTTGAGTGGGGATGTTGAGATCTTGCTCTGGTCATAAAGCCAAGGAGTTAAGTGTTGGAGCTGAGACTCCAACCCCCAAGTCTGAACTCTACCTTGAGCGGCTCTACCTCCCTTTTATTCCTTTGATTCCTTTCCGGCCAGCCATGGTCTTGATTCATCCATCTCCTGATTCATATCGGCAAAGCGCTGAGTAAATTTCTTTGACGTATTTTTAATAGACTTCATTTTTTTAAGAGCAGTTTTAGACTCACAGAAACTTATTTTAAAATTTATTTCTATTATTTATTTACATGAGAAATTCTTAACTAGTAAACCCGGGGGTCGGGGAGCTGCTCTAGCGAGTGGAAAGTCGGTTGCGCGCCCTCCCAGCACTGGCCAAACACCCTGCAAAGGAGAAATGGCAGTGGGAACAGCAAGAATTGGGGCTGCAGGAGCGAGTCTCCTGCTCTGCCCTCGCTTTCCCGGCTGGAAATGCAGGAGGTGGAAACTCCTCCCTCCGCGCTTTCTGTCTGGGAGGATCCGCGCGCGTTCCCCGCTATTCTCTTCCCGCCTGGGCGGCCGCAGCTGTCTCCTTTCCGGGTTTTGCAGCTCACCGCCCTCACATCTTAGGCTTTTATCCTGAGATAAAATGCTTCCGCATTTTGCTTGATGCCCGGCGCGCCGGGACGTGGAGGCGGTAACGCGCACGCGCGCTGGCATCTGGCCCCGACCGAGCGCGCGGGCCGAAGATTGTGGGTGAGGGCAGGGGCGGACCCGGCGCGGGTGGCGGGTCCCGGGGGCCGCCGTCTGAGTCGGAGCGGGCGGGGGTCTCGGCGAGGGCCTTAGGGCTTCCGGGGCATGCGGGGACCGAGGGCTAGACCCCGGGGCCGGGGCGACCGGGGCCTGACGGGCGTGCCTGGCCGGGGGCGGACTCGGGCTGCCGTGACGCGGGCGCCGAGTCGGGCCCGCGCCGGCGGGAGGCGGGTGCGAGGCGTCTCCTCCTCTTCGCGAACTCTGGGTGACCTTGGCCAAGTCACTTCATCCCCTGAGCCAGCGCCTTGGTCAGTAAAACGCGAATTATAAGCCCAACCTCGTGGATGAGGCCGTTTTGAGGCTCTGAGGCGAGACCCCCAGGGGGCTCCCGGAGTACCGGGCGGTTTGCCGGGCACCACCCTACGGTGACGGAGAGGGTTTCTGCGGTGGATTTTGTTAACTGGCTTTGGGGAGGAGCTCTCATTGTATATTTTTCAAAACTCCAGAGTATTATGAAATAGCTGCACAACTTTTGTTTAACATACCACAGGAGACTCGAGGGCTCCCTGGAGGCTCGCGTTCGGCGTGCTGTGGGGGCTCACGCTGTGGCCACAGAGCTCTGTGACGCTTCAGAGCATGGCGGGAAGCCGTAGAGACCCTTAGCTTTGGAAGAATTAGTATTTGTGATCCCTGTTTGCCAGAACCCATCCTGCCCACGTAGGAAATTGTGGCGCTGTCCAAGCAAGTTTATTGCCCGTCCATATGAGGCCAGTGTGAACAGTGGAGTCTTAGCATTCCGCTTAGTGAATTTGTGGAGGTGGAGTATGGAGTAGCTTTTCCGTGGTGGTGTGGGATATCAGAAACCTCTTAGTGGGCAAGGGTCTGCAGGGTAATGGGTGCTCAGTTATGACTGATAGAAGGCCACAAACGTAAGAAGCATATTAGATGTTTAGGTTGGAAGAAATTTAGAATATTTGGATTGATTTAAACTTAAACTTTTCATTGCAGGTGACTAACATGCAGAAACCCATTCTCTGACTTGCTGACTGGCCCTCTATTGACATGGCCCACCGGGGTGGGGAGAGGGACTTTCAGACTTCAGCACGGCGCATGGGCACGTCGCTGCTCTTCCAACTTTCAGTGCACGAGCGGGAGCTGGACCTGGTTTTCCTGGATCATAGCTATGCCAAGCCATGGAGTGCCCACCCAGATGCCAGTAGTGCCCGTCCCACCCGCATGCTCTTTGTTACTCCCCGGAGGCAGCACGAAAGTACCATGTGAGTTTGGGCTTCTCGCCTAGGGGCTGCCCCTGCCCTAACTGGTCAGTCATCAGATGGTGGGGATTAGAGAGGATTTTATTACTGGAGATTGTATGGGGCCGGGGGGGGGGGGGGGGGGCTTGGATGTTTAATTCAGGCATCTCTGTTAACACAGTATGAGAATATCAGACCTCTATGTGGACTATCTGCATGTAAAATATCTAATGAGTTAAGAAAGCAAGATATTCAAAAGAAAGCAAACAGCCTGTTCCACTTAGATGTTTGGATTTGTATGGGAAGAGGAAATTGAAGATTATTTAACTGGTGAAAAATTAGACTCATTCCTTTACTCTAGTGTCCTGGCTTGCTCCAACACTCAACAAGAACCTTTTTGTGGTGATGCAAATTGCTTTTCCTGACTTTACTCACAAACTTTAGAGCATATTCTCAAGACCTAGCTTCTTTTCAGCTTGTCACAGAACTGTCAACCATGGGTTGATGTGAACCCTTGTGAGGTCTGATTATATATTCAGCAGGCTTACGTTATAGGCTAAGGAGTTTCTCATAGATTTACTATGTATGTATGATAAATTTACATTTGGCTTAAATAAACTTGTTGCAGCACTTCTTTTGAGCTTTAAGATGGTTTAATTATTTATTTTTCAAGGTTTGTTGATGATTTTGGTGATCAAATCATGTCCTTAATAACTTTTTTGGGGAAGAAATGTTTTTGTTTGTAATCTGGCCTAATGTTTAATCTTTCCTCTAGCACAGATTCTGGGTTTGTCAGGGAGTAGCGATCTTACATTTTGCTTCTGCAGGTTCCCCATTTATCATTAATAAGCGAGAGGTACCAGGATGTGTGTGTTTTAAACATATGTAGAATAATGGTTTTTATTTCATTTCCCAATAAGAGCAGCATTCTGTTGGCTTTTTTCGTTCTACAGGGTTCAGGATCTGTGACTTTAGGGAATAATCCAGGATAATCCTGAGGCCTCTGGCCCAGGGCATCACTGGAAAGCTCCTTTAAATAGAATTTGAAATCTTTTTCTCTTAGTTTGTAATAACTTCTTGCTAACACTGAAACTCCTGTGTTAATACCTCATGATATTTTCCTAAAGTGAGAGTCTAGAATGTGGTCATTTCAGTAGTTAGTTATTTCTCCTATGAACCATCTCTATATAGGCCCTGCAGTGTGTTCTAGGAACTCTTTTTAGGCCACTGGGTGTGGAATATAGTTGCAATAGGGGTGTAAGTGGGAGCTGGGGAGAAGTTGGCAGAGGCTACCTCATGAACGATTTGATTTTAAGAATGGTAAGAAGTCATTGAAGGATTTTAAGCTAGAGGTTGGATTTGTATTTTAAAAAAATCACTTTGAATTTTTGTCGAATATAGTGGCAGGAGTGGAATAAAGACCTGCCAGGAGGCCATTGCAGTACTGCAGTTGTGACCTCCACCTTGGAGAGGGGCAGGAAGTGTACAGATGGATAAAAATGGATGGCCTTGAGATAGATTTTGTCGATACCGTGGACAGGACCTCTTGCCATGAATTGGAAAGGGGCCAGGGTTAAGAGGCAAGGTGAAATTTGGATGACTCTTAGATGTCTGGCTTGAGCAACTGGGTGGTACCTTGAGTTGGGGAAGACTGGAGGAGGATAGGTTTGGAATGGTGAAATTGAGAGGCTTTTTTTTCTTTTTTTAGGCATATAGGCCCAAGTGCTTAGCCCAAAGTCTGCTCAGAGATGATAATTAGCTTTTTCACCCACCACCTTATTTAGCTGCATATTATATCAGTTCATTTTATAATGATGTAACTATTCCATCCATTTGGAATGGATGCAATAAGATCACCATGGTTGAAAAGTTAAAAAGTGATGTTTAGTAGGTATCCGGTAGACCAGTTTGGTTGGCACAGTATTTTGGGTGACAAGTTGGTGTAGTGAAGAGCCCTTAGAGCAGTAGGATTTCATTAATATTTTGAAATATGAAAGTTCCTTTATATGTCCATTTCTTTTTGTTTCTGTTCTCAGCTCCTTACACAGTGAGATAAATAGCTAAGGTGATCTGTTACAGACAGTGACCTTTGCAGGTGATTGGTTACAGATAATCATAGGCTTTTACAGTATGTAATTAAATAGCCGCTGACTTGCTAATGAAAAGGAAAGTTTGTATGAATAACTTAAAACTTTAGACCAACAATGGGCAGCAGAACTCTGCAGTGTTAGAAATGCTTTATAACTGTGCTGTCCAATACAGTAGCCACTAGCCACATGTCCGTTGAGCACTTGAAATGTGGCTGGTGTGACTGAGGACCAGAATTTTTAATTCTATTTCATTTTTATTGATTTAAATAGTTGCATGCAGCTTATAGCTACCATATTGGAAAGAATGTCTAGGCAATCAACTGTTTGCTTACAGACTATATTTGTCTTCTTAAACAACTGTCATTTTTTTGCATCAACTCATTTTAAAGTGACCTTATGTCACTTTAAACATGCAGGGACAGAGAACAGACAGGTATGGGAAAGATGACTTTGGATCATAATTTTCTTGTGGATGTAATGTGCTTATGCATACTTTAAAGCTGATAATTATATTAAGGAGACATGTTTTGGCAAACAAAGGATCATTAAACACCTGTGTGGAGTGAAGTACATGTGACCTGGTCCTATTTCCTCATCTGTTTACAGTGAATCAGACGTCCCAGTAGATGTGGAAACAGTCACGTCAACCCCTGTGCCACTCTACGACAATCAGAAGGCACGCAGTGTGATGAACGAATGTGAACGGCATGTCATCTTTGCCAGGACAGATGCAGATGCTCCTCCGCCACCAGAGGACTGGGAGGAGCATGTCAATAGGTAGGTGCTCCTCAGGAAGACTCACTGCAGGGCTGGTGGTCACCCCACTGTAAATATTTTGTATCATCTTCATTGAAACATTTATTAGGAGCTTATTTCATTTGCAGCAACACAGTCAGAATGTTCTCCTAACTCCCTGCATTGTAACTCTCAGCTCACTATGCAGTGACCTTGAGAGGAAGGCTTGCATCTCAGCCATCTTTGCATCCCTGACACTTAGGACACTGCCTGGCACACAGTAGGCATGTAATAAATATTTATTGAATAAATAAATCAAATTTGATAAGTATGACAGCTTTTTAGATTATGTAGTACAGGTTATGATGTGGGAGTTACCCAGATTACAATAAGAACCAAGCTATTAAAAAAAATGTACATTCGTAAGAATCTGTATTTATGTGGCCTGTAACTAGGGTAATGAAAAATGTTTGTAATTACATGAAGAGCTAAGAGATACTTGATATGAGTGGCTTTTAAAAGCAGATTTGCAGTCTGTGGGTTTGAGAGAACACTTCAGCCCATTTTGATGAGTTTACTGGCTGGTTTTGTTCTCATTCTTCCTGCTAGCCCAGCGGACTCAACACCTCTCCAGGTCATTCGTCATTGTTCATTTGGCAAACATTTATCTTTTACCTATGGCATAACAGCTTTATGAAGATAAAGTTTATATACTCTATAGTTCACCTACTTAATGTGTATAGTTAGTGGTTTTTAGAATGTTCATCACTACAGTCAATTTTCATCACCCCAAAAAGAAACTCTCTACCCATTAATAGTCCATGCCCATTTCCTCCCAATCCCTTCAGTCCCTAGCCATCACCAGTCTACTTTCTGTCTCTCCAAGTTTGTCAATTCTGGACTTTTCATACAAATTGAATCATATAATGGGGTCTTTTGTGACTGGCTTCTATCACTTAGCATAATGTTTTCAAGGTTCATCTATGTTGCACAAATTAGTCCTTCATTCCTGTTTATTGCTGAATGATGTTCCATTGTATCGATATACCACATTCTGTTCATTCATCCATTGATAGATATTTGGGTTACTAATAGTTTTTGGCCATTATGAATAATGCTGCTATGAACATTCATTTACTTGTTTTTGTGTGGACATATGTTTTCACTTCTCTTACATATATACCTGGGAGTGGAATTGTTGGGTCATTTGGTAAACTCTGTGTTAACTTTTGAGGAATTTCCAGTCTGTTTTCCAAGGGGGCTGTGTCATTTTACATTCCCACCGGCAGTATATGGGAATTCCAAAGTCTCCACATCTTGCCAATACTTGTTATTATCTGTCCTTTTGTTACTGTTATGAGCATTCTAGTGGGTGTGAAGTGACATCTCACTGTCATCTTAATTTACATTTCTCTGATGGTGCTCTCCATATTTTTATCTACATGTATAAGGGAGTGTTAAAATCTTTACATCAGGAGTTGGTAAATGGCAAACTTGCCATAATGTTGAAGAGCTCTTATTTTGTGACAACAGAAGAGAAAGGTAAATTTGGTAGGAGAATGGTAGGAAAGCTTTAGGCAATTGCTGTGATGTATGAGTCTGGTTGGAAGCAGGGAATGAGATTGAGCAGGTATGCTTGTGTGATCAGGGTAGTAGCTGTTGAGGAGGAGCCTTTGTTCAAAGAACTTAGGAAAAAGTTCTGTGGGTTCTTTTTTGAGAGGGCATCTCTCATATTTATTGATCAAACTCAGTGCACAATCATTAATCAACCCCAAGCCTAATTCTCAACAGTCTCCAATTTTCTGAAGCATAACGAACAAGTTCTTACACGGTGAACTAGTTCTTACATAGTGAATAAGTTCTTACATGGTGAACAGTGCAAGGGCATTCATATCACAGAAACTTGGTTTTGATCACGCATCATGAGTTTTGTGGGTTCTTGAATTAGAGTTAGTGTTGTGCCTTAGGAAGGGGAAATGCTCTCCAGAGCTTTAGACAAAGAGGAAAACTGCTATGAATGAAGATTAACTGCTGGAATTAATTAACTGGGGTCAATGAATTCAACAAAAGCTTATCACCAGTGTTACAGTTAATAGTAATAACAAAGACAGGTTAGTAACAAAAAAGAACTACCATTTGCCAAGTGCTTTCTAGGTGCCAGGCATTGTGCCAAACGCTTCATATTCATTCTCTGTCTTAATCCTCACAGTAACTCTCCAAGGTCTATCCCTTCTTCATCTCTATTTTACAAGGTGAAGAAACTGAGCTCAGGGAGTTTAAGAAGCCTTAGGTGGAAAGTGATAGAACAGCGATTTGTTTAAAACAGCAGTCTGACTCCAGCACCCAGTGTTCTCCACTGCTGTGCCCTCTCTTTAAGGGCAGTTAAAAGAGAGACCAGTTAGAGGTAGCTGAACAAGGTGGCCTCACATGGTTATGTGTCCCTTTGTGGTGCTTTCAGTTGCCTTGTCCTCAGTTTGCAATTTCAAAAGCTGCATGGGAGAAGTTTTGTATCAGTTCGCCCATTGTCATGATCAGGAGATTTTAGGAGGCTCATCATACTTACAAAGTCATCACAGACTTAATAATACATATGAATATCAGTTTCTTAATTTATAAGGAGAGAAATGCTTGCAAGGCAGAAGAGATCCTGGGGTGGCCCTGGGCAGAGCACTGCTGCTCAGTGGGAGAGTCTGGGGGAGCCATTCCATTCCTGAGGTGGATGGTGAGTGGTACCCTCCTTCAGCAAAATACTGGATGCACCCGTCTTTCCTCAAAGCAGGATGGGTCCACAGAGAGGTCAGGGCACCCCTTCACCTACCCAATCCTGCAGAGAAACGCTGACAGATTCTTACCTTTGGCTTGTCTTTCTCCATGTGGTCCTTCATCCTTCTGTTATGACATTGCCACAGATTAATATGATTAATTAGCGCTCAGTTTATCTCAGATTATTTGTTTTTTAGTGTCTGATGAGATTTTGGAGGCGTCCTACTCTCATTAGCAACAGGCTTACAAACCATCTCTTCAGGTAGGTCACTTTTGCACACAGCTAATTTCATTATTTGATGGTACTTACTGGCTTCAGTTTCAGAGGTCACCATTTTATGACCTTGTTCTCTAATTCTGTGTCTATAGCCTGTTTGGAACTTGGAGTTAGTTCCCTCTCCTCTAACTATAATCCTCTTGTTGCCCTTCTGTCCCTTGACTTGATTGTTAAATTGCTGCTGCTTTTCTTCCTGTATAAAATCATGTAAAATTAGTTTCCCACATCAAGTACTCATGGGCTATAGAACAGCTCTCTAGAAATCTGTTTTTCCTTGGAGAGCTTACTCTGATCTATCAATGGAATCAGAAACTTAATTTTCTTCGCTAGTGCCCTTTTCCCCCTCTTGAATTATTTCAGTGGAAACTGCCTTTAGATAACTTCTTGCATATAGAAAGTGAAGCCCCCTGCAACTGACACTAGTGTTGGGTAGTAATGTGTGATAGTTTGTGACACAGTTTAAATAGCCCTCACTGCCTGATTTAATTGTCTAGATCAGAGGATGGCAAACTCTGGCCCTTGTACCAAATCTGGCCTATTGCTTGTTTTTGTATGGCCTGTGAACTAAGAATAGTTTTTACACTGGTTTAAAAAAAGGTTTTTAAAAAAACACATCAATTTCAACTTTCAGTATCCATAAATACAGTTTTATTGGATCACAGTCATGCATATCCATTTAGGTACTGTTCATGACTGCTTTTGTACTATAACTGTAGAGATGAACACTTGTGACAGAGACTGTATGGCCCATAAACCCTTAACACACCTATTGCCCACTCAGTTATAGGAAAAGTTTGCTGACCTCTGGTCTAGATCATGTTCTTGTGTCTGCATGCCTAAGTCACGTGACTTGGAGAAACTTTGAAAATGATTTACATTTGCTGGTGTAGTAATGTTGTCCTGAAGAAGTTGGACCAGCCTTTTTTGTCCTCCCCAAATGTTTTATCACATGCCAGGTTTAATTAGATGCACAGCTTTTAAAGACATTTAACAAAATACTCCTGACATGATACTTCTCAACATTGCTCAAATGGACGTTAGGACATTTCCAACATTGCAGTAAAAGATCTAGTGTCCTAAAGCAGGTGGTTTTATCTTAAAATTCAGAGCTTCTGAATTCACCTCCCCCAAAATTCTTTTTAGAATTTGCTCTAATTATATCTCTCAATAGTGTATGTAGCTATGTATGTATTAAACATACATTGGATGTTTGAAATTTTGAGTCCAAAGTCTTTGAGTTGTTTATTTTCCCTCTTTCACCCTCCCTCCCCACTGTTCTCCCTCCCTTTCTCTGTTTTCTCTCTTCCCTTCATTCCTTCCTTCTTTTCTCCTAGTGTTTAAGCAAGGAGTTTTTATAATCTGAAAAAAATAAGTGTGACCTATTCAGTCTGATATTCTTTGTCTCTTCCTGTTTGACTTCTGGTAATAAAAATCCTTAGACCATGAATTAGTCTCCCTTGAAAGTATCAGAGAAAAAATAATTAACTTTGGAAATAGACTTTTCTAGGATCAGTGTGACTTTTTGGCTGCTTTGAGTAAGGATAAACCAGGGGCCAGACATTCAGATTCACTCCGAGCATGGAGAACATAAGATTATCTGATCTCATTTAAGAAATGAAGAAAAGGCATTTTGTGCTCATGAAAACTGAACTGGTTTACTTAAGGGTAGTGTGATGACTCACTACAGTTCCCATCAGCTATTTGACTGTTCAGACTTGCATTTAAAATTCTGTCTCCTGTTTTTAAAAATTTCCTTAATTATATCTTTTATCTTAATCTTGGGTTAGAGTATTTTTTTTTTCCTGCCCACTTAATTTTCCAACCTCCCACGAAGCTGACAAAATACAGAGAACATATTTCAGTTCTTGGAATTACTTTGTTATATATCCAGCAGCAATCCTAAGAATTTTTTCTGGGGTTTTAGATTCTCAACATTGTGGTTTTCCAATTTAATGTCAGCTGTCATTGGTGTATGGTAGTAATTCCTAAATAGCTTTTGAGCACCTCCCCCCCATTTTGTTCACATCATTTTCTCATTCCCATCATTTTGGGTTTCAGAATAAATATAGAGTAAGAGAAAAATAGAGAAAACAGGTCCCTCCTGTTGTACAATAAAGAACAGAATAATTTTGGAATGCTTTTGGTACCTCATAAGTAAATTATACCTTATTCTCTGTCCTCAGAATTAAAGTTTGCAGTATGATCAGTAGGCTTTGAGAAAGCTTGAGATTGTTGAACATGAAGAAATTGTATTTGTTGCTTAAACTATTTGATTATTAATAAACATTGCTAGGGGTAAGGCTGTAGTGTAATACTGCTTTCACTATGTCACATGTTCTTTACATATGTTATTGTACAGAATTGGAAATACGAAAATTTTAACACAGATAGCCTTTGAACCTGCATTTCCAATTCAAGAACTTTACCCTACAGAGATTCTTGCACAACCATATGAAGATGTAAATAGAGAGAGGTGTTTGTATATTGGTGGGGAAAGAAGGGGAGGTGGTCACTGCAACTGTTTGTAATAGCAGTAAGAGACACAACCCAAATGCCCATGAACTGGCCATTAACAACAAAGAAGTGTATTTGTATGGAAGTACATCCATGTATTTCCAGAGAGCATTTTAAAACTACTTGTTAAGCACCCTCTGTTCCTGCTACCACCACCAAATAAATCCCCAAGTCCACTTGAGAATCACTGTGCATAAGAGAAATGCTACTCTTGTGAGTGTTGTACATTTAAATAACGTGAAGGAAAATGAAGTTACGGACCAGTGGGCTGGAGCTGCTGGACCCCACCAGCCTTTTCGGTCCCAAGGTATCCTGAGTCCAGCATTGAGTTAAAGCATCTGCTCTCCACCTCCCAAGTTTGGAAATCTCTGAATATCAAACCACAACAAAAACTGACTGGGTCCAGATGAAGTAGCCAAATTAAACCAAGAGAACTAGGGGAAAGTAAGAAAAAGGGCAACTCCAAGAAATCCAAGATTGCTTTAAGTACCCCACAAAAGGATCACAAAAGGGGTGCAAGGCTTTGGAGTTTAAAACGGGATTTAGCTCTGGCAAGGAAAGCTATTGAAGATAGAGGGTGCTTCTGAACAATTCTGTGATCACGGACTTCAGCTGCTCTCATACTTTTAGCTCCCACCAATAATAGCTAACCTGGGTTTTTATTGCTAGGAGAAACATAGATCATCCAATCCATGTGTTTTACTGTCAGGGAGACTGAGGGCACAGAGCCAGATCTTTATTGCAGAGCTGGTTAAGAGTCCTGGCTCCTAGTTAGTGTTCTCCCGGACTGTGTAACTGGTTTATAAAACTAGAGGTGTGGGAGGGGGAGATTTGTTTTACAGAAGAAAATGAAGTTGGACCATTATTTCCCTCCTTTCTAGAAGGTATTTACTCTTTCCAAGGACAGTGAGATAGTTGTACAAAATGAATAACAAAGGGTGATTTGTCCTCCATCTGCATATTTGCTGGGCCATATGATTGCTGTTCTTAGATGACCTGTAGAAAATTGAGTATCTTGTTGGCAGGGTGTGGTGGGAAGGGCTCTAGTCTGTTACAGAGTAAGAGATGTTGATTAGATTGTTGAAGTTGATTCAAGCAGCTTGCCTGCAGTGACCACCCTGGTGTGGTGAAGGGCTTGGTTTACAGCTGAGCCTTAGTCATGTTTGCGTCTTCCTCTGCTGCTCAGCACCCATGTGCTAGGTGTGGGAGGGAGTGGGAGGGTTTAATTTGTACTCAATTGTTCACAGGACTGAGACTATAGCATGCACAAAATTCATTTATTTATTCAGCAGATATTCACATCCCTCTTGTGTGTCAGACACTGTTTTATGTGCTGGGGATATAGCATTTAAATTAAACCAACAAAAGTCCCTGCCATCTTGGCCTTTACTTTCTGCCAGAGAGAGACAGACTAAACAAAGAAATAAAATGGATAGAATGTAGGGTGGAGATATGGCTGGAAAGGTGGAGAGGGAATCTGGTAGTTTTGTGCATGATAGTTGCTGTAGTGTTGATACCCTGGACTGTTGAAGTCTGTGATATGAAGATGGGTAGCAAAAAGATATGAATAGCTCAAAGAAGGAGCTGAAGTAAAACTATTATTTTGCTACTTACTAGAAACTTTCAAAATCTTGTTCTCCAAATATACTGGGACTGAACCAATTTAACTCCCACACATTTGACCTTTATGAATTGAGAACAATGTTTGAGGAGTGAGGTGTTGGTAGTTTTAAATAGGGTTGAGTTGGGGGAGCCTCAGGGGAAGTTGGTTTATAAAACTAGAGGTGTGGGAGGGGGAGATTTGTTTTACAGAAGAAAATGAAGTTGGACCATTATTTCCCTCCTTTCTAGAAGGTATTTACTCTTTCCAAGGACAGTGAGATAGTTGTACAAAATGAATAACAAAGGGTGATTTGTCCTCCATCTGCATATTTGCTGGGCCATATGATTGCTGTTCTTAGATGACCTGTAGAAAATTGAGTATCTTGTTGGCAGGGTGTGGTGGGAAGGGCTCTAGTCTGTTACAGAGTAAGAGATGTTGATTAGATTGTTGAAGTTGATTCAAGCAGCTTGCCTGCAGTGACCACCCTGGTGTGGTGAAGGGCTTGGTTTACAGCTGAGCCTTAGTCATGTTTGCGTCTTCCTCTGCTGCTCAGCACCCATGTGCTAGGTGTGGGAGGGAGTGGGAGGGTTTAATTTGTACTCAATTGTTCACAGGACTGAGACTATAGCATGCACAAAATTCATTTATTTATTCAGCAGATATTCACATCCCTCTTGTGTGTCAGACACTGTTTTATGTGCTGGGGATATAGCATTTAAATTAAACCAACAAAAGTCCCTGCCATCTTGGCCTTTACTTTCTGCCAGAGAGAGACAGACTAAACAAAGAAATAAAATGGATAGAATGTAGGGTGGAGATATGGCTGGAAAGGTGGAGAGGGAATCTGGTAGTTTTGTGCATGATAGTTGCTGTAGTGTTGATACCCTGGACTGTTGAAGTCTGTGATATGAAGATGGGTAGCAAAAAGATATGAATAGCTCAAAGAAGGAGCTGAAGTAAAACTATTATTTTGCTACTTACTAGAAACTTTCAAAATCTTGTTCTCCAAATATACTGGGACTGAACCAATTTAACTCCCACACATTTGACCTTTATGAATTGAGAACAATGTTTGAGGAGTGAGGTGTTGGTAGTTTTAAATAGGGTTGAGTTGGGGGAGCCTCAGGGGAAGGTGAATCTGAGCAATGCCCTGAAGGAGATTGGAGAGGGAACCATTGTTTCAGGTGGAGAGATTGGATGACGAGCCCAGTCTGTGATTCAGGAGCAAGCAGGATCGGGAAGGATGGAGGGGGTAACAGTGTGGCGAAGACAGTCAGGGGCAGTCATGGATCTTGAGGCTGTACAGGCAGTCCTGTTGTAAGGACTTGGCTTTTAACTGATCGAATGGGGCCACAAAGGGCTTTGAGTAGAGTGACATGATTTGGCTTAGGTTTTCGACCTATTTTTTCCAAAATTAATTTTCTGAATTGGCTTTCCAAAAGGTCTTACTAATTTATGTTTCCATCAACAAAGTATAGAGGGATATATTTTCTTACATCCTCACAACAACAGAGTATCACTCTGTATTTTTACCCATTTGATAGGTGAGAAATAGTATTTTATTATTTTAATTTGCATGTTTGATTTTGAAGGGGACCGACTATCCCCAGGTTCTCATTTGGGTCTGGCATCCACTTAGGCTTTCTTTTTTTTTAAGTAATCACCAGTTTATGTCAGAGAGAGCTGGTAAGCAAATATTAATTGGGCATTTTCTGTCACCTTTCACTTATTATCTTCAGGAAGACTGGCCTGAGATGGAATTAAGATTGCCAGGAGCTGGGGGGCAGGAGGACCTCAGAAAGTCACACACCACTGTGCAGGGTGTAGGGAGGTGGGAACGAGCAGTAGGGCAGGTTTCCAGTTGCAGGGAGTTTACAGCTGATTTGGAAGAGGACACGTATAGCCTCCTATAAGTGAGGTAGAAGTGCCTGGGAAAGTATCATGTGGGTGATGCAGTGCTAACTTAAGGAGCAGACCATTCAAGAGTGAATATGTTAATTATGTGATATGTAGAAAAATACAAGAAGTATACATGGGAAAGGGTAAGAGGTAGTGTGGGGTAGTATATTAGGGAGTGGAAAAATAGTCATTTCATTTGTGCTATTTTTGTTCTTAAAGCTAATTTAAATAGGCTGCTTATCTTGGTCTGAGGTTTTAGTACATTAAAATGCTTGCACAGCCTGTCTGCCTTTTTGTATGAAATATTAAACTGGTGAAATTCAAATATATCTGTACAGTGGTGCCATGCTTTTATTTACTTAATGGATCATTTTAGGCACTAAGCAAATAATTAGCTTTGCTAGCACTAAAAATACTTCCCTTATGACTGATTTCGACTTGTAGTAGGTCTATCAATACAAGTGTATGCTGAGGTGGCTCAGCAGGGTTGGGATCAGAATCTAGTTTTGTGTGTTAGCTCAGTGGTCTTAGACTACTTGAACTACTTGGAGTAACTCTTTCATAGTAGGAACAAAAACCGTGGCATAATCTTTGTATGTTGTACATGCAGGGACTGTGTCTCAAGGGTTTGACTTAAATTCCTCAGTTTCTCTTATAGGACTGGCTGGACCATGGCCCAGAACAAGCTATTCAACAAGATCCTCAAAGCCCTGCAGTCTGACCGGCTTGCCCGCTTGGCCAATGAAGGGGTAAGGCTCCAGAAAGCTGCCCACCTAGGTCAGGTGCCACTGGCTGGCTGACATGCTCCATTGTTCACCCTTATATTTCACCCCTGCCCCCTCTTATGTCCTTCAGGCTTGCAATGAGCCGGTGCTGCGCCGGGTTGCTGTGGACAAGTGTGCAAGGAGAGTGCGGCAGGCCCTGGCAAGTGTGAGCTGGGACACCAAGCTGATCCAGTGGCTACACACCACCCTTGTGGAGACCTTGAGTCTGCCTATGCTGGCGGCCTACCTGGATGCTTTGCAGACGCTGAAAGGGAAGGTAAGGCTCTGCTGGGCCTCTTCTCTATCCTGGGGTAGCCAGCCTCTGCTGTGGGTTCAGGAAGGTGGTGTTGGACGAGGTCATTGCCTGCTCAGCCTGGAGGGCATGATTGAAGCTAATGGGTTCGCTGTTAAAACCAGGAGACATGCTATTATTTCACATTTTTGTCTGAAATGTCTTCAACCCTACTGTCTTCAGGATGAAGTGCGGGGTCTGAAACCCAGAGTACACTTTTAGCCTCTACAGCCCTGCAGCTTGTGGTTTGAGTCACCTCTGAGGTGAGGTGAGAAAGGAGTTGGATCATCACAGAAGAGATGAAAGCTTTACCAGGGAAGAGTGTGGAGAAGGGGACAAGAAAGAAACCAGTAGTGCTCAGCGCAGGGCGGGGCTGGGGGATATTCTAGAGCAGGGAAGTGTGGTACATCTGTCTTCTTCCTTGAGGGATAAGTCTTTAGTCAGTACCTATAAAACAGCATTATATTTCTCTATACAAAGCTAAACTTTTTCTTTATGATCCATTTTATTTTGATTTCAGTTATTCTGCCAGTGTTCAGTGCAGTGGAGTAGGGGTTCTGGAGGCAGACTGTCTGGCTGGTCTCACCTTGATCATGAATTAGCTGTGTAATCTTGGATTAGTGCCTCAGTTTCTTCATATCTAAAATATAGCTAATAAAAACCTATCTAGCATGTTGGTGAGAATTAAATTAGTTAATCTAGGTAGAATGCTTGGTACAAAATTTGGCACATAGCAAGCTCACAGGAACTGTTTGATGATTATGTAAATGTAGGTTATTAAAATGTTTAGATTATTTTACTCTGACACAAAGTGACTCTCAGATAACTTGGATTACTTCAGTTCTTGACTTTTTTTTTTGAATAGTTTTTCTTTTTTCTCTTGGAGGAAGCTGGCCTATTTTGTTGCTGTAATTTGTCTGGCCAACAGCTTCCCCTAGTCATATCTCCAAAATTTTCAGACTTACTTTTTCTTACCTGTCTTTAAATTAAAGGATGCCAAGTTTGTTTGAAAGTAAAAGAAGACTGGTTTAGTGCAGGAAACAAACAATCTCAGGATTAGATGCATTAATGATATGCTGATATGCATGGTAGGAAATCTGACACCAATTTATTCATTATTTTGTGCTTCCAGTGTGTTAGGCAGTGGGGTGGGCAGGACTGAGATGTTCCCTCCTCTGGTGGAGCTCTTTTTCTAGTGGGGAAAGAGACAAATGAAAAGATGGTGCAATTAGAAAGCAATGGAGATAGGATTAAAGATGGCGGTGTGAGAGGTGAGACAGAGACTTCCTCCTATAACCGCATATAATACGAAAATATAATTAATACAATTAATCCTGAAAGAGCAACAGGAAAAGAGGACTGCACCAGACTCCATACACCTGGAGAAAAGAACAGACCTCACGGAACAGGGTAATGTACCAAAGCTGTGGTCTGGCGGGACCCAAGCCCTCCCCCCACCCCAGCTCACCTGCGGGAGGAAGAGAAACGGAGCAGGGAGGGAGTGGAGGCCTGGGACTCTTGAATACCTAACTCTGGAGATGTGCTTTGGGAGCACAAACCTACATTTCATGGTGCTTTCATGATACTCTCATGATTAGAGGATTGGAAAGCTAAGACAGGCAGAATTCCTGGAGAGACTGAGGTTCCAGCCACTTGTGGAAAGCAGGGATCCATATCTGGCTGCTCTGGGACAAAAGAAAGGCAGGCAGTCTGAGAGACTTCCTAACAAGGAAGCCCTTAGCAAGAGGGCTGCTAAAGGGGCAGAGATTGCACAGAGCTTACTGCTCAGGAGAAAGGACAGGTAGACAAAATTGTCCGGGTGCACTCTGCCCAGCAGGTTGGGAGCTTTCACGATTTCCAGGTGCTCCAGCTCCCTGGCTGGCTACACAGCTCAAAGGACCCCCTCCGTGATAGTCAGCCTACTGCACCTTTCTTCTAGCCTACTGCACCTTTCTCCTGGCCAGCTCCACCTGGCTCACAAACCAGCAAACCCTATTCTGGCATTAGGCCAGCCAGAAGGAAGATCTGTCTACAGCAACTACAAACACAAAGCCTAGAGGCTTATACCAGTGTGCTCAGCCCACTGGTTCAGGCAGCGGAGACAGGCATAGTGGCCAGGAAGCAAGAAACAGCTCAACTCCTGAGAAAGATGACATGGACCTCATGACTCTTCCTGAAAGGGAGTTCAAAATAAAACTCATTAACATGCCCATGGAACTACGCAAAGATATTCAAGAACTCAGGAATGAATTCTGGTCAGAGATCCAATCGTTGAAGAGCACAGTGGAGGGTATTAAAAGCAGATTGGATACAGTGGGGGAGACAATAAATGAAATAGAAACTAGAGAAGAGGAATACAAAGAAGCTGAGGCACAGAGAGAAAAAAGGATCTCTAAGAATGAAAGAATATTGAGAGAACTGTGTGACCAATCCAAACAGAACAATATTTACATTATAGGGATACCAGAAGAAGAAGAGAGAAAGGGATAGAAAGTGTCTCTGAGGAAGTAATTGCTGAAAACTTCCCCAATCTGGGGAAGGAGATAGTCTCTCAGGTCATGGAGATCCACAAATCTCCCAACACAAGGGACCCAAGGAAGACAACACCAACACATATAGTAATTAAAATGGCAAAGATCAAGAATAAGGACAGACTGTTTAAAGCAGCCAGAGAGAGAAATAAGATCACATACAAAGGAAAGCCCATCAGGCTAACATCAGACTTCTCAGCAGAAACCTTACAGGCCAGAAGGGAGGGGCATGATGTAGTTAATGCAATGAAGCAGAAGGGCCTGGAACTGAATACTTTATCTGGCAAGATTATCATTAGAATTTGAAGGAGGGATTAAACAATTTCCAGATAAGCAAAAGCTGAGACAATTTACCTCCCACAAACCATCTCTGCAGTATATTTTGGAGGGACTTCTATAGATGGAAGTGTTCCTAAGGTTTAATAGCTGTCACCAGAGGTAATAAAACCACAGTAAAGAAAGTATAACAGCTAATTACTAAGCAGATACAAAATTAAATGAGCTATTCCCAAAGTCAATCAAGGGATAGACAAAGAGTACAGAATATGATACCTAATATATAAAGAATGGAGGAGGAAGAAAAAGGAGGAGAAAAATAAAAGAACTTTAGATTGTGTTTGTAATAGCATATTAAGTGAGTTAAGTTAGACTCTTAGATAGTAGGGAAGTCAACCTTGAACCTTTGGTAACCACAGATCTAAATTCTGCAATGGCAATAAGTACATGCCTATCGATAATCACCCTAAATGTAAATGGACTGAATACACCAATCAAAAGACACAGAGACACTGAATGGATAAAGAAACAAGACCCATCTATATGCTGCCTACAAAAGACTCATTTTAAACCCAAAAGACATACACAGACTATAAATGAAGGGATGGAAAAACATATTTCCTGCAACTAATAGAGAGGAAAAAGCAGGAGTTGCAGTACTTGTATCAGACAAAATAGATTTCAAAACAAAGAACGTCATGAGAGACAAAGAAGGACATTACATAATGATAAAGGGGTCAATCCAACAAGAAGACAAGAAGATATAACCATTTTAAATATCTATGCTCCCAACACAGGAGCACCTACATATGTGAAACAATACTAACTGAATTAAAAGAGGAAATAGAATGCAGTGCATTCATTCTAGGAGACTTCAACACTCCACTCACTCTGAAGGACAGATAAACCAGACAGAAAATAAGTAAGGACACAGAGGGACTGAACAACATGTTAGTACAGATGGACCTAACAGATATCTACAGAACTCTACACTCAAAAGCAGCAGAATACACATTCTTCTCAAGTGCACCTGGAACATTTTCAATAATAGATCATATTCTAGGCCACAAAAAGAGCCTCAGTAAATTAAAAAAGATTGAAATTGTACCAACCATTTTCTCAGACCACAAAGGTATGAAACTAGAAATAAATTACGCAAAGAAAATGAAATATCCCACAAACACGTGGAGGTTTCACAACATGCTCCTAAATAACCAATGGATCAATGACCAAATAAAAACAGAGATCAAGCAATATATGGAGACAAATGACAACAGTAATTCAACACCGCAAAGTCTGTCAGAGGCCGTGAAGGCCATGCTAAGAGGAAAGTATATTGCAATACAGGCCTACCACAAAAGAAGAACAATCCCATATAAGCAGTCTAAACTCACAGTTAATGAAACTAGAAAAAGAAGAACAAATGAGGCCCAAAGTCAGTAGAAGGAGGAACATAATAAAGATTAGAGCAGAAATAAATAAAATTGAGAAGAATAAAACAATAGAAAAAAATCAATGAAAGCAAGAGCTGGTTCTTCAAGAAATTAAACAAAATCGATAAACCCCTAGCCAGACTTATCAAGAAAAAAAGAGAGTCTACTCACATAAACAGAATCAGAAATGAGAAAGGAAAAAAATCACTACGGACACCACAGAAATACAAAGAATTATTAGAGAATACTATGAAAAATTATATACTAAAAAACTGGATAACCTAGAAGAAATGGACAACTTTCTAGAAAAATACAACCTTCCAAGGCTGACCCAGGAAGAAACAGAAAATCTGAACAGACCAATTACCAGCAACAAAATTGAACTGTTAATAAAAAAACTACCTAAGAACAAAACTCCTGGACAAGATGGCTTCACCACTGAATTTTATCAAACATTTAGTGAAGACCTAATACCCATTCTCCTTAACATTTTCCAAAGAGTAGAAGAGGGAATACTTCCAAACGCATTCTATGAGGCCAACATCGCTCTAATACCAAAACCAGGCAAAGACACCACAAAAAAAGAAAATGACAGACCAAGATCCATGATGAACATAGATGCAAAAATACTCAACAAAATATTAGCACACCAAATTCAAAAATACATCAAAAAGATCATCCATCATGATCAAGTAGGATTTATTCCAGGGATGCAAGGATGGTACAACATTTGAAAATCCATCAA